CTATAGGGAGCTAAATTTCTTGCATTTTCTTTCAAACCAAGGTCGGAATTTTGAAGTCAATAATAGTTAAAGGTATGAAACTAGCGGATAGTAAACATTTGACGGCAAGAAAATTTATTTATGGAAAATAAGGCCTAATTGATAATAATATCTCTTTGCTGAACGTTAAATCTTAGACAGAAACTATTAAGTCAAAGATACAAAAGCGGAGACCTTTTCTCATGCCCTAATTTTAACTTTTTTCTAAAAAGATTATCGAACTAGTGAGAAAGGGGGGGATAAAAATAATGTCTAAAGAAACCCTCACACTTTCTTCGAATATGATCCATTATCGAGATCTGGTTGCTACAAAAGTGTGCGCTCCTCTGGTCTAGCTTATGTTGGTGAGGCATTCTGGCCTATTCAACTAAGAACACAAAAATGGTTTTAAAGGAAGCTGGGTCCAACGGCCAGAAGTGGCCGAACACATGATAGAAACCTGTCATGAAATAGAATGTTCTAAAACTAGTAGGTTTGCTTGAATGATATATTGAAAGCGAGCGAGGATGTTGATCCACTATCCAAAAAAGACGAGTCAACTTGTCCCCTCAGTGATAGTTTTAAGTTTACTCACTCTCATCCAACATGTTATATTAAGCTCATCAACCAAACCAGACGTACAAGATCATGCAGCTTCACTCAGGCCTTTCTTCGGGTTGTCAAATCTTAATGATCCTAGACTGAGAGGTTAGGATAGGGGGTTCCTTAACCTGACTTGCATTCTTACAAGCTTACATCTCATTGTTTCAACCATAGTTGTCTACGCACTTACGCAGTCTCGATCAAGGCTTTTTCATGGGTCATTAAGCTTTAATGACCAGAGCCTGAAATTAGGCTTTTTTCATCACTCTTATTTAATGCTGGTATTGTGTAGAGGTGTTAACACACGCATACACACACACACATGATTGTGCCAAAGTAGCATAGCCAAGATGAAAGATAATTAGCCTAACCATTATATATCTATCTATGCCTATTAATTCTAGTTTTTAGTTTTTAGTTTTTAGTTTGTATAAATGGAAAGATAAAGCCGGATAGTCTTCTTTACATATTATTAATGTGAGACTTACAAGAATGAGTTCCACCTCTGATGATATCCATCATATGATTGACGAGAGCTCAACCCGTTTTCACCCGACACAAGGTAAAATGTCTCGTGGATTGCGTCAACCTGAATGTCGTATTAAAGCCAAACGGCTGTAGTACAGTGGGATTCAACCCTGCCTTTCTGGAGAGATCGACCTCCATGCATTTTCATATGAAATGAAGATCCCCTATTTTATTGGTCATGATGAGCCGGTAGCCTGAAGTGTTTACATGTGTATAATCGAACGTTGCAGATCACAAAATTGCATTAAATTGGACTAGGATGCGGATCTGATAGTCCCTGGCTAAAATGTTCGTGGCCAGCCGGGGGACCACCTGCAATGGTGCATACGAACTGTTGCAAATTAGTGGCCAATGTTTGAGTTTCTCGTATTTGAGTAGGGTTTTGAGACTACCAGTAAATCAGTGTAATGAGTTGAGCTGACGTTTCTATTGAATTTCACATAGCCTTGCTTTCCCAAAAGTTGTTCTC